ATTTGTCTGAAAAATTGTGGTTCCTTTATCAGAACCCAAAACCTAAAATGTAAATTATATATAAAATCTAATATAATTTAAAAAAAGTGCCATGGAGATTCATAACACTATTTTTATATGCCTCCCAATTATTATTTTTACATAATTCATTCACATCTATATAACTTATATAATAATAACTCTAATTCATTTAAAGAGTTTGACATCCTCTCTGTCATCTTTCCCTATTTTAATAAATAAAAATAACTGCAAAATCAAAAAAGATTTTAAAATATGGGCAGGATAAATTTTAATAGTTTCTGAAGAAAGAGAAAATTAGGAAAATTGTCAAAATAAATCATTTGATTTTTAGTTTATGATTATTTTAGTTTTAGGAGACTTCACATCAGACATGTAGCCAGGAATTTTATACAGGGGGGGGGGGAGATAAAGGAAGGATGGTGGTATAATTTTTTATATTAAAATGTTTTTTTTTTGAATATTAAAAATTTATTGCTAATCATGTAAAATATATTATAACCAATCATATTTTAAAATATGATATTTTTTAATACAAATAATAAAATATTGGCAAATAAAAAATATTGAGAATGAATATAATACATTTATAAAATATTATAGCTATATAAACTGGTATGTAAATCACAATAAATAATAAAATTAAACATTTTTTACTGATTTAAAAGTTAATCAAAATATTTATAAATAAAAATTTAATCTTCTTTGCAATTGCACAAATTATTTAATAATTTGTTCTGGGTGGATTATTTGATCTCTATGAGTATAGCTAGTCTATTTAATCAATTTTAAGATGTTTGATATAGGTTTTTATTCTCTGTAATAAAGAAAAGGTCAGTTATTTGTGTTTGTACAAATTAGTATCATATTCAAAATATACAGTAATTTTAATATATTTCCAAAATTTATAAAATATTCCTTTCACACCTATAAATTCTGAAATTAATTGATCTTCAGATTCATTTATATGCTATTAAAAAAATTTAGCTTAATATTTAATTTTTCAATATCAAAATTTGATATATCCTCAGATCAGAGGGAGTTATAAGATATAGTATTTGTAAATTGAATAGAGCCAAATGATAAATAAATCTCATTTATTTGAATCAAAATTTAATTCAAAAGTGAAATAAAAGTGGTTATTTTATAGTAATCCTCAAATGAATCCACGTTAACATTGGAAGGATTTTGTCTGTGAAAGTCGAGGCTTGTGAATCCCAAATTATATATAATTTTGCTTTAACCTTAACTATCACATGAATCTCAAGAAATTCCTGGTCGATACTATCTCTTTGTTTTTTAAGTTATAATATAATAGTTTGCGATTCTCATAACTTCTGCCAAATCCATTTTTTGAAAAATTTTGTGTAAAATTGTTGTGTAATTAATAATTTATTTATACATTCCAACATATTAAATTTAATAACGTATCCGTTTCAGATAAAATATCTGTTTCAGGCCATTCTGATAGGTCATACAAAATAGGCTCTTCTAAATCCAACAAATGCTGTAACAGCTTTATATCAAAAGTTTCATCTTGTCCAGCTAGCTTTTTACAGTATCTTTTTTCCTGTATCATAAGAAGTCTCAGAAATAAATTTATTCAGCAAATTCTGTCTATTATCTGAACATTTCATACTCTTGATAAATTAAATAAATTTTTTTGGTTGATAAAATTTCTTATATTCATAAGTGCTTAAGATTAAGGTTTAAGAAGTGTTAGAAAATAAACTTTAAATTTTTATGAAATAAAATATTAATATACAAGAAATTAATATTTAAATTAATTTTAACTTTTTGCTAATATTTAGAATAGAATATAACCTATTTGAAATGGAATACTTTGCAATTCACAATTCATGAAGCCCTTTTATATTTTTGAAAAATTCTTGCTACGGAGGGTAGATTTATCTCTCTCTCCTACACTCTAGGCCTGAACCTTTATAAAAATTTTATGATGGGGACGGAAATTTATATCCCTTTCAACCCCTGCTGGTTAGGCGCCTGCTTCACATATTTCATTAATAAAAACCCTTTCTATGCAATTCAAACTCCGTGGTTGTCTGAGATTATAACTTCCTACAAAGATTATTATTCTTCATCTCAACAATTATTCTCCTTACTTTGTTTCTCATCGTTAGATAACCTAAAGTAAATGAATGCTGTTTGATAACCTTTATTTTCCAATAGTAGCTATATAAATTTTATATAAATAATTCTAAGTTTTATATTTTATAAATAATTGACAATATTTAAATTTTAAAATATAATTAATTTTATGTTAAGTTTCCGGTATTACAATGTAAGACCATGTCATGAATGATTAAATTTTAACAAAAATAAATATGAAAAAACAAAAAATTCTATAGTAATGTCTAACTTCTCTTCTTTCTAGATAAATACCAGTTCAACTTAATTACCATTTTTAGGAAAAACATGCTAAACGCTTCCCTTAATTTGTAAGCATTTTTACTCAGTTTTTCTAATAAAATGGAATTAAAATGTAACAAGATTTTACCAGAATTTTTTTGAAATCAAGAAAATAAAGTTATTCAAATATCGGAACGCGGTGCAAAAACAGGTTTAGAATGAATGATGTATTCATTTTGAGTTACCACTCAAAAAGGCTAGGCTGTTAAGATTAGGAGGTGCGAAACTATTTGATGTGTTCGGAATTACACATTTCATGAAATTAGGTAAAGGTAGTTCCATTGAAATCGAATCACTTAATTGGGATATGTGTTTCTCCACAATAAAGTTTAGGGTTGCCATATTGTTATTCTCAATTGCATTATTTATTTTTAGTCGCTATTTCGATTAATTTTTCGGGATGATTATATATATATATTATCTGTTATCTTATAATTTTTTTGTAAGTCATACGCTACATTTAAATATATCTTGACCAAGGTATCTGTAATATTTTGTCTTTTACGTACCTTTATCCAGGTGGAACAAATAATTTTAGCTAAGATCTTATTTTTGTTTGATAACATAATTTATAAGACTCCGGAATAAAGGGGAAAGAATGGCAAAACGATTATTATTTATATTATAGGGAATGGCACCAGCCAGTAGAGGTCTGCAAAGTAATTTTTTCAAAGCCCGACCTGAGCCCGATCAAACATATTTTAGTTCAACCCGGCCCGAGCCCGAATAAAATTTTAGAATTTGAGTTTGAATATTATAATAACTAAAAAAAATTATGTGTAGTTATTCATCGCCACCTTAAATAAAAGTTTATTTGACGGCCATAATTTAATCAAGATATATATTAAGTTGCATTTTAATTTGCAAAAAATATTATAAAAAGGTTAAAATATAATCGAATCTAAAAATTATAAATAATTTAACCATATTTTCATATATTTGTTATCAGCACATCGACCCTTTTTCATATATGCATTATATTTCGGAAATAATTTATTGCGTATACCATCAGCAGTATCTATTAAATTTCTAGAAATTGTCGTGGGATTTGGAATGATGCTTTAACATCAATATTTCCATATATTGAGCCAATTTTGGCAAAATATTGGCAACAATCAACAAAGCCTTTTCCATGAATTGCATCAGATCTCAAATCACGTCCACAAAATATGGTGAGCACCTTTGTACAAAATATCTTTATATCACATTATTTTATACAACAAATTTGTCATTTCCTACAATTTATTTTAATATTTTTTATAATTTATATTATAGCCTATTTTATTTAAAATAAAGCTTGATACATTTTGATTTTGACTAAAGTTTTTTTTAAAGTATCTTAAATTTTTAAAAGCATTTGTATTTGTATCCAGATACAAATTTCTAAAAAGTTGCCCAATCCTGCTATATACATATCGTAATTGTATTGAACAAATTTTGTGAAAAAATACTAATTAAAGAAAATTTGTCTGCCAATAAGAAAGGAAAATTAAAAATAAATAAATAAATTATATTTAAAAAGACATAAAAATGAGAAGAAAAAAAATTGAGAAAAGATTAAAAATGACTTAAAGAGATTGCAAAACGTTAGAAATAAAATAAGAACAAAAAATAAACTAAAAAATTTAAGAAAAATTGACAAGGAAAAATATTTATATATATTTTTAACTATTTAAAAAATAACGATTTTCCTTTTTTGATTAAATTTTTTCCTTTTTTTTATTGAACCTTTTCCTTTATGATTGACACCTTTCCTTTTTTAGATGTGAAACTCTGTATATGCTAACAAAATATGACATAAAACTATTTTTTGTCAATGCCTAAACATACTGCATTGGCCTATAAAGTTAGCAATCGACCAGCCAATGTTGTTGAAAGATTAATTAAGATTATATTTCGGCCTACAATATGACCATGGATAATTGGAGTACTAAGTTTATTAAAAACCTATAAATTGGAAGACTTAAATTTTTTTGTATAAATCGTAATTATCCTCATCATATTTGATTTAAGCATAATAAATTAAAATAAATAAATATTAATTATAAAGTTTAAGGCTTATTTTATATCAAATAAGCTCAATTTAATGAATAGAAATAAATAAATATTCAAGTTTATTAAACCCCACTGGATTAATTACATTTTTTTCAACTAATATTGAAGGGGTAAATGCACCTGGTAATTAGGGATATGGCTCACTGATTAAAAAAAAAGTTAAAAAATTTATTAACCAAAGCTATTTAAAATTGACTATGACTATATTAGTCAGTCATTTTTTATGACTATGACTATTAGCTATAGTTATTTTGTTGGCTAATAGTCGGCTACGCTTTGACACTTAATCGACTAAACTTAGTCGTTTAACCCATTTATAGTCTCGAGACTAGCCAAGATTTTCGAATATGTGACACTATTGATGAGCGTAGCTCTTATACCCTTAAACTCTAACAAGTTAGTCTTTGAATTTTTTATTTTCCCTAAAATGTTTTCTTTTCATTCTTTCTTTCCCCAAATATTTATTGCGCTACCTTTTGATTTTATTTATATAAAAATGATTGCATTTATAGACAATATAATATCCTTGAAACAAAATGTAAAAAATACAAAATTTGAGCGAAAATATTATAAATATACATTTAATTTTAACTCAATATTTCAGTGTTTGGAAAGCAAGATACTAGACCTAAAGCAGATAGAAATAAACAGTACGGGGTCGAATGGAGAGAGGTAAAGGATATATAATCAAATATCTTTATTTCAATAGCTGAATTCTTTATTTACAGTAAACCATTCTTCTTGTAGAATTCTGAATTTTGTTTGTCTATCGGCATGTAATTCTTAACTTTGGAGGATTTTTTACCTTTTATAGTTAGAGAGTTTTTCACCCTGTTTACTAGTTTATCCAAGTTTATGAGTAATAAACTTTTCTTCCTTTTCTCCTTTTCGTGATTTATGGCGGCATTTTGCCACGACCCCGATTTCGTAGGATTATCGTCAACACAAATAGGCTTCAAGGATGAATTGAAAAAATTTGAAATGGAAAGAACACTTAGGGTACCGTTGGATAACGATGGTGTATTATTAGTTTTATCCTCTTCGCCTATTAATGGAAGAACATTTTTTTTTTCTTCGTGGTCATATATGTCCTCTCCTTCCTCTTCACCTTCCGAACTCGTAAAATTCAAGCCATGCTCATTCATATGCCTTTTTAGTTCTTCTATCATGGCAGGTTCTAAGGAATTAAAACTCTTGCTCTTCTTGCGTTTCAGCTTACTGTTTTGGCAGTAGGGATTGATCTTAGAGGCTAACGGGTTAATATAACTGGGTGTTTTAGATATCCTGTAGAATATTTTGAAACGGGATTTTTGACCCCATTTGAGATCTATCCTAGCCATTTCTTTCTTCTTATCATTCAAGCTCTTGTCGCACCAAACCTGTCTTTCCTCTATGCTCTTACGAGATTTTGCCTTTTTTTTTTGCTGCAACTTCACCAGTTCTGGGTCTGAAAGGGATTTTCTCCTATTCTTGTCACTCCTTTTCCTATCAATCTTTAACATGACCTATCAATTTTATAAATATTCTTAATTAGTTTTAAAAAATATATAATTGAATAAAATATTTTTTGATAAAAAGACCTTAGATTGCGTTCCTTTCCCTTCAGGGCAATGACCCATTATCCTTATGTCGGCAATTGCATTCGAAACATTTGTAACGACATTTGGTTTAGGAATTTTGTGGAAAATATTTTGCAAATCTTTAGTAGCTTTATTTACTATAAACGGCTTTCTTTCCTTATATCTCTTAGTAAGGTCTCTGGTAGAGCCCGGCATCGATGAATATTGAGGGGGATCTTGTGAGAGCAGCTTGTCTCTATTTTTTAAATCCAATTCTGGGGAGGAATAAACCATTTTATCATTGATTTTCTCAGAAGCGTCGCCCCGATTTGATCCATATAAAGAATAGTTTCCTTTTATCACTGGAACAAACATATTTAGTTTCAAATGAAGTGATTTAAAAAGTTGCAAATTTAATATTTTCGGAGAATCGGATGATTTTGCATAGGGTATAATTTGAAGAATAAGATTTAGAAGCTGGAATATTGTAAATTTATTTATATATTAATAATCTAGAGCTCAATGCCAAAGTTGCATACATTTGATTCTTAACATTTTTGGAAAGTTGTCATATTATCATATCTTTTACCTTTTATTATTTTTTAAACAAATATTAATGGGTGATTTTGCATAGGGTATAATTTGAAGAATATTTATATGATTTAAACTGAAATATTGAAAATTTATTTATATATTAATAATATAGAGCTCAATGCCAAAGTTGCATACATCATTTGATTCTTAACATTTTGGAAAGTTGTCATTTTTTATCATATTTTTTGCCTTTTTTATTTTTTAAAATATTTACTATGAAAATTTAATATTTAAAATTAGTTATTGTTCTGAATTATAATCCTCCATTTTTATTTTAAAAATCTTAAGAAATATAAACAATGGGCTGGCGGGTTAAAAAAAATTAAAATCATTTATGTAAATATTAATAAAAAATTGTTCCTATGAACTTTTTTGGATATTAAAAATTAAAATGTCTTTTTTGGTATCATAAAAACTTTTTTCTTAAAATAAATAAACTTTTTTGTATATTTAAAACTAATTTGTAAGCTATCAAGATTAGCAAGAAAAATATTGGCAATTCCTGCAACTAGTGCTTCTTCTGAATGAGGATTTAGCATTGTTGGAAGGTTTTTAAAACAAAGAAGAACGCGTTTGAATCCAGAAAATGTCGATTCATTATTATTTTTGTATTATTAATTACATATAATTAGACCTCCATCGGCGGCCGGCGCAATTTTCAAAAATCATCGACGGTCGGCGACGCGCCGATTTTTAGCCACCGTCAACAAAATCGTCGTAAATCGGCGCAGTTATAAATTTTTATAACATAAATTTTTTTAATTGCTTAATAATTTTTTTTTAAAAAAAAACAAATATACACTACTCTACCTCAGCATATTTTTTTAATATTTATTTAATAGAAAACTCATAAATCCAAAATCGATTTCGTAATTTTATAATTATCATGTATAAAAAATTTTTATTTAAATTTTCGGAACATAATAATGATTTTGAATTTAACGTCAATCCAGCGGTAGAGAAAACTCTTTCACTAGATGTGCTAGTCGCTGGAATGCAAAGAATTTTTTTGGCGAGCCTGGAAAGATTGGGAAGTTCACTCTTCTTTTCTCTCCAAAATTTTAGAACTTCCACATCTTGTGAATGTCGTTTTCCAAGAAAACTGTGGCATTCTTGTTCTAAGTCACCATAATTTATATTTGTTTAATGTTTATATGTTAATTTTGATAAATAACTTGGATTTAATATCCTCTTAATCCTCATAGTTATATTTACTACCTGATTATCATCATTCTCTATAAGTTTAAGATATTTTATTATAAATTCTGAAGCTGAGCAATTGCTCTATTAAATACTTTGACACAATAATTTTTGAAATCTTGGATTTAAAAGAGACGCCAATTAGATAATTTTAAATAAAAAATAAAAGAATATACTTATATATTATTACTTGCAGATTACAAACTGTAAATCGTAGCGCAAGTTTTTTTTAGTATATTTTCTTTAAATGAAATGATTTCAGAACCATCACTATCATTTACTATTAAATGTATTTCAATTTCACTTCTAAAACGTAACGCCAAGTTTAAAGTAGGCCCCTTTTATACTGAAAGAAATTCGACAGTTTCTTTAAATTTTGAAAGAAATGCTAATAGTTCTTCTACCAAATCAGATTCATAGTTTTATAATTTGAGAAAGTGCTTCCCAATTCTCTTCAAAACATTATTAATTAAATTCTTATTTAATCCAGATATGTTTTCTAGCATAATTAATATACTATGCCAACGTGTTGGGACATTTAGTTTTAAGGTTTTCATATGCGTGGAGTTATTATTATTAGAATTGCCAATTTGAAAACGTGTATCCGGGTATGGATCAGTGCTGTCAAGATCTAACATGTCTGATGTTAAATCTATTGTACTTAAGCATTTTCTTTGATCTTCTTCGAATTCAAATTCAACCTCTGCAATATCTTAGAGCAGTAATAATTTCTCTAATTCTTTTGATGAGATTTTCAACAAAGGGTACCTTTTTAATACCATTTAGATCTACTGTAACCAGATTGTGTAAACCATGACCCAAACATAAATGGTGGTCATATTCACCTAATCGAACACCTTTTCTAACATTAGGCCCAGCATCTGTGACCATATGTATTATTTTCTTTTTTAAATTAAATTCCTCTTCTATTTTATCAATCTCAGATAGTCTCAGTTGTGTGTTTTTGGGTTATATTATGAGTTGCTAAAGTAAAGTAAATCATTTCAAAATTATCATTTATTTAATGGAATGTAAATATAATATAGTTTTTTCTTCTGTATTGATCGGTCCACATATAAAATGTAATTGAGCAAAATTTTGGCCCTGAGTTAATTTGTTCTTGTACATGTGCTTTCATTGATAGGTAAACATCATTAAGAGCAGTACAGCTTAGTGTTGTCCTGTCTGGCAAATCAGAATTAGAATTGATAACTTGATATTTCTAAAATAAGTATTTTAAAATTTATAACAGAAATCATTATATCTTTAAATTATAATTGACAACAAGGAGAATTTTTCAAGAAGAAATAAATTTGTTAAAAATTTATTCTGGGTTACAAAGCTACACAAAAACAAAGATGATTAAAACAAATGAATATGCAATTATCCAAAATTATTTGAATCATAATATGTCTATTGTAATAATATTGTTAGCATGGCTATAAAATTCAACTATTATAAATCTTCCACAGTAGCCAATGCTATTTCTATAGAACAAAAAAGACATAAAGGTAGATCTATTATTATAATAGATAATATATCTATAAATTTGATACCTTTAAAAAATCTTTCATTCCTATATTATCAATTGATTGAAAAGGTAATAAGTCAACACAACATAATAACACATAATTTCTTGCTAGAAGCCATTTTTTATAGGTTTTAGAATTTGTCTAGAATTTTGGCTTTGATATAAAATATTTTTTTAAATCTTGCGATTTTGATGAAGTATCTGCTTTAATATTATGTTCTGCAGTCAGGTATTTTAACAAATTTCCTGTGCTAATGTTTATTTAAAAGTTTTAAATTTTATAGCTAGATTATATTTTACAAAAAATATTTTTTAATTTAGTAAAGATTTTGGCTATATATGAGAAAATAATATTTAAAGAAATATATACTGTGAAAATGGCTTATTCGAATCATCATCGTCTCCAATAGCCTTTTCTAAGCAACAATTGCATTAAAATTTGTCAGAATTTATGGAAATTGTTTTATTATCTCTTTTTAAGTGTAATTATTTATAGAATTATTAAAGATACATCCATTTTCAAAATATGTAAAATTATGGTAACTTTTAGATTTTTGATTGATTGACTATAATGAAGTCAATATAATTATGATTTTAAAATAGTAGAAAATAAAAATTCATCAAAATCCTGATTGACATTAAAAAAATTACAATATTAAAATAAAAAGGTATAAAATATGAAAGTAATTTCTGCGCCAGCGTGATTTTCTAAATCGGCGGCGTTTTCGGCGTAACCAAAAAAGGTCACCGGCCGGCCGAAATCTTATATTTATATCATTTTCATATAAATTGAATATTTTTTATGCTTAATATAATATTTCCCCAAAAACTTTTTGTAGAGGTTAATGCTGATTTTTTTTTTATTAGATGCTTAAAAAATTGAAATAATGGTCCTAATTAAATTTTATAATAGCGGGTTTGGGTTAAAAAATCTTTATAAAGGTGTGGACCTGTAAAAAATTTTAGGCTAATGGGCGGGCGGGTTAAATTTATTTTAAAACAGTGGGTGTCCAAAAACCCGCCCAATGCAGAACTCTAAGCTAGATATCAAAAATATAATTAATAAACTTTCGTAACTAACAAAGAGAAATAAGTTATTTTAATGTAAAAATAAAATAGTGGCCTAAATCATTTTTTTCAAATTTACGAAAGTTTATAAATTTTTTAAGGTTCGAGAAATTAACAAAATTTAATAAATTTTAGCTCAAAATTTATAAAGTTGGGAATTTTACTTATATTATATCGATTTATTTTATTCATAATATATAACTATATTCCATTTATGGAGAATAATATAATAAAAACGCAATTGGGGCTACACTATGAGTTCCCAAAAAACACGAGTAATTATATTTTAAAATAGTATTCTGAATTATTTATTTTAAAAAATAAAATTCATTGGGTTCTGATGTAAGAGCTCTTATTTTGCCTCCTATATTTTTTAAAAAATTATAAGTTATGCTTAACATATGTCCAAGGGAAGAGATAACGATTGATAAAAAAAAACAAAATTTGTTAATTTAGAATACTTATTTTTATTCTGGGCTATAACATTTTTTTGAAATGAAAAGACACCTAAGAAGTCCCTAATTGGGAATTTACCTAAAGACCAAGGTACAAAAGTAAAACTCCAAGATGTTTAGTATTGAGGTCCCTGTAAAAGAACAGCTTATAACTGTAATCGTTGCATGCCTTACATGTCTGCCTTGAATATATATACAATTTAGACCATGTCCCCATTTGAAATCAATCGATATTTTACATCTTATAAATATATTTGATTAAACTATGTTACATCCTATTCGGAGGCTTATGACAACTCTTTATTGTTCATCATATAGGAGGTTACCTTGATCACGACTTGTAATGCTTTCAACCACCCATACAATCAGCATGTAATAGTTGAATATATTCCAAAGGGGGGTTTGATGTGAGTATTTAAAAAAAATTTTTAATTATCAAAAATTGATTGATGTTAAAGGGTAAAACGGCTTCAGGTAAATAAAGATATCCAATCAGTCATGGCAAAGTGAAGTTGAAGAGGACTCAGGTACAGGTAAAAGAGCATCGTTAATGGGTAGAATTGCGGGTGGGGTGGGAATCTCCTTGGAAATAATCTGTGAACTAGTTTGGCATCGTGATTTAACTTAATTTAGTACTACGCTAAATATTTATTATACCACGAAATTTTTTAGACTTTTATTCAATATAAAATTAAAAAAGTAATTATAAAACAAAATTTGAAGGAAA